GAAGGAAGAACGAGGGGAGGGGAATGAGGAAAGAAGGAAAAAATAGGGAGGGAAGGAAAGAAGGAGAGGGGAAGAAGGAAGAACATTGGGCTGAGAGGGGAATGAGGAAAGAAGGAAAAAATAGGGAAGGAAGGAAGGAGATGGGAAGAAGGAAGAACATGGGGAGGGGAATGAGGAAAGAAGGAAAAAATAGGAAGGAAGGAAGGAAGGAAGGAAGGAGATGGGAAGAAGGAAGAACAAGGGGAGGGGAATGAGGAAAAGGAAAAAAGGGAGGGAAGGAAGGAAGGAAGGAAGGAAGGAAAATGGGAGGGAAGGTGGGAGAAGGAAGGTGAAAATAAATTTCGACTTTCCCCTTTAAAGGCCAGGCTTTTGTCATAAATATTAAAAGAAAGAACTTACATTGAGGAGTTCTTAAAATCGTTCTTTTTATTAAAATGTTGTATCACTGGCAAATCCATTTATTTCCAAGATGCACTGTTGGGAAACAAATCTTTTAAAGGAGCCTTTCCAAGAGTAAGTTCAGGACCTGTTATAGGTAGTCCTCGACTTACGACTGTAATGGAGCCTGCCCATTGTGGGCGCAAGTCAAGACAGTCATTAAGCAAGGCGCTCGCATGATCATCTCATGCAATGACCACAATTGAGCCAAACATTTATGTTGCTAAGTGAGATAGTCGCTAAATGAGATGATCGCTAAGTGAGCTTTGCCCTGTTTTATTACTTTTCTTGCCACCGTTGTTAAGTGAATCACTGCAGTTGTTCACTTAGTCACATGGTTGTTAAGCGAATCTGGCTTCCCCGCTGACGTTGCTTGTCAGAAGGCTGCAAAAGGGGACCATGTGATCCCAGGACCCTGCAACAGTCGTAAGTACATGCCAGTTGCCAAGCCTCCAAATTTTGATCATGTGACCATAGGAATGCTGCAACGGTCATAAATCTCTTTTTTTTAGTGCAGTTGCAACTTTGAACAGAACCATTGGCTTTTTGCAGAAAGAAACAATGCTAAATAGGAAAATAACATGGTCAAACTCTCATTGTCAAATGTTCTATAGATGGCACTTACCACCTGCTAGGTTAGCTAACACGTTTAAAAATATGTCTAGCAAATGTTGGAAATGTAATTTAAAAAAACAGGCACATTTTTTTCATATGTGGCAGACTTGTGTTACAGCAAAAAAATGGGCAAAAATACACAGATGGATAGAAAAGATAATAGGGCAACATGTAGATCTCAAAGCTGAACTGTTTTTATTAGGGGTGATATCAAAAAAATTGATAAGAAAAGTATGTATTTAATATTACAGCAAGGATTATCTTTGCACAATATTGGAAAAATGAAGAAACGCAGCAAGATGAAGAGATAATTAAGATATTAAATTGTGCAGAAATGGACAGACGGACATTGAAAATCAGACAGAAATCAGACACAGAATATTATCAAACACGGAACTTATTCTACCGATGGCTGGAAAAAAGGAGTGGAGAGAGTAAGAAGGTAAATTTGTATTGTTAAGAAATTTAAATACCCAGATAACATGATGTTTATTGAGCACTAAGAAGTGTAATCATGGAAAATAAAATTTATTTTAAAAAATACCCTCTCAGTGTCAGATGTTTGTTAAGAACATTTGTACAAGTCCGTGCATGAGAGCTACCTGTACAAACATTCTTAACGAACATTATCTGACAATGAAAGTTTGACCAAGTTTTATTTAGCTGTTTAGTATAATCTTTGGCTGCAAAGGATTCCAGGTGTTTATTCGGGGGCTTCTATTTAGGATCCCTGGCGTTTAATTTTTTTATCTCTGTTTGGAAACTGGAGCATTCATGTTGCACTTAAAAAGAAAGATTTTTCCGTAACTGCAGTTGTGAAGGGGGGTGGGGGGAACAGATTCACAGAAGGGTGAAAATATTTCTGGCTGCCACCCCACTAAAAAAAAAAAAAAATCTCAAAATACTCTGAAAATACAGTTCAAGGCCAGTTCAGTCACGCTGTCATGGAATTTTATTTTATTTTTATTTATCAAGTTCAGATGTCTATGGATGCCCATCTCAAGACATCGTCCTGCGTCCGATACAGAGATGGGGCCAGGACCATCTGGGAGTCGGGTGCTGCCTCCGGAGCCTCCAGAATCTGACAGCAGCGAGGCCGAGGAACAAGGGGAGCCTGTTCCCAGTGCGCACGTGCGCAGAGCTGCCAGAAGGCGAGAGCAGCTGAACCGGAAGGGGCAACTCTGGAGTAAGGTTGGGAGGTGATTGCTCCTCCCAGAAGAGATAAAAGTCAGGCCAAGATGATGAAACCTTTGCAGGAAGCAAAGTCATTCGTTCGGTTCAGATTCATTCTTGAAGCTCTTGGTACTTCGGTTGGATTTTTTTTCTAGTTCATTTGACACGTCTGTTATGAGCAGCCATTCAAAGGAGAGAGAGGTGGGTGCTTATCTCGAGGGACTGTTTGAGATTCATTACTGGCTGGGA